CATACTGTGTTTAGACATTGTTCCTCGTTAGATCCCTTACAGGTGCCAGTCAATATAAGTAAGTGGATGGCATCCACATCGCATTCGCCGGTCAGCAATAGTCAAATTACTGGAAGGCTGTGCATAGTTCAACAGTCATAGGCAAATTGCGTTTATCTGAATATGACGATGAGTAGAATCAATCGGTGCTAGTAGAGACTCGGAGAACAAGGTCGTTGAGCCGACCCATAGGACTATCAGGTACCCCATGCGTGATAGTCCAACGGAAGACTCCGGCAGAAACTATTTGGTTGAAATCAAGGTACCGGCGTTCTCCTTGGTTTATTTTGGTATAGAAGCTTACAGGCGATCCAAGGTGACGCTAAAGTATAAATAGTTTTGATGGTAACGAATAACCTGGTGGTGTTTTTTCTGACAACATGGTTAATGATGTTTCCACCGAATGACAGCGTCATGCGTTCACTAATAAGGAAATGGAAAGGGCTTTGCTTGGTGAGCCAGTGAGTGCGCTGGTGGCACAAATTTCCCTAACTTGCGAACTTCCGCATAGTCAATGTTACACTAGGGGGAGTTAAACTCATCCGCTTTTTGCGTCATCAAGACACATTGCCTCTGATAGATTTTCGAACCCATGTGAATGACTACACTTCAGGCCTTCCTCTTAAGTGTTATATCCCACGTAATCTGAAATCCAAAGCCATAGTCATCAGATTAATGGATTTTGAGTTCTCCTGGTATTAAACTTCATCACCCAGCAAATACCCAACAATTTGTTATGGAACGCAAGTATAGGCCATTTGTTTCAAGTAGTTTAACAAGCGACGCCTCTTTTGGATCTGACGTCAATCGGCTCCGGCGACAATTACTCATCAAAGGACTTCTGTGCTCGCGTTCAGTCTGTTCGAATGCCGGTCAATGTAAACGGCGTCCGTCAAGCATTCATGTAAGTTCTCTTTAGAGCAGCAGCGTGACACTGAAGGCAGCACAAAGGTGCGATATACTTTGATATTGGTGTAAATGTACACGTGCTGTTTGCTTCATACCTGTTTTTTAAGACGATCAAATGTCATGCTGACTTCTGTAGCTCGTGCGTTTATTTGATCCTCAAGCATTGGGTATGTTTACTGAGATGGCATGGTAGCTAGCCGTCTCACCCCGTTCAACGGAACAACTGTTGTTTTCAATCAAGACCGCGATGCATCCTGATTGAAGACAAGCGCTTTAGTACTGCATTTAATATCAGGAGCTGTATTGCATAAACAACCGTGGCAGTCCCGTTGTATTATGGTTTGAAGCCCTACTCATATTCGTCCTTATTTATATTCAGGGAACTGAGACACGCATGTCCATTAGCAATCCCGGTGTGTTTATGCCAGAATACGCCTGTTTAACAGTGGGCTTTTTGCAACGCCGTTGTTTCAAAGATGTAGTTCATTTGTTATATTTCCCCCCCCCCCCAGCGATAAGAGCTTTATGGTTGCGCCATCCCGTTGGTTTGAAGATCAATCGTCAGCAGTTAACCTGTTTTGAAACACTTTACACTGCCTGACAGCGAACTCTGTTCCGGTGATTAGTATCTTATGATATTGCCTTACCACACTATATACGTTGCCGTTCCCGCTTAACCGGCAGATCTTGTAAACAGCTTTGTCAGCTTTGCATCGAGAAATTTATGAAACAATAAAACAGAAGGATGTGTGACATCATACTCGGATTTGGGACAATCAGGCTCTTAAAACCCAATGGAGAGGTCAACATCTATTGTTGGCTTTGCCATATCGTAGAAAAAAGCTTTGAATATCGTGTCAAATGTTCGATGCAAATTTTCAATATTCGTACTTTTCCAGGATATTCGGAACCACTCACTGATCTTCTATGAAGGTTGGTTACTTGAATAGATAAATGAGTCCCTCGAGCAAGCGCACTTTACAGGGATTGTAGACCGATTCCTGCTACGCACTGTGCACGAGCGTATAACATTACATCACATTACGCATTACAAAAGGTATGGATTGGCGAAATATACTTAGTTGTATACCAAATTAGTTTTCGTGGGAGGCCCGACTAAATCTCACGTTTATGACATCCTTGTCCAACGGAATATGCTGCACGAGGTCTCCTCATGTTTCAGCTTGAACTGGCATTTTCGAGATGCATACATTGCATAGACGCTACAGACTATTCATAAGTTGCTGAAAACTCAAAGCGTCAGATTTTTCAGCAACCTTATAAGTAGCTTGTTACATCTATACAAAGTAATGTTTACATAAAGGAAACTACTCACAAGGTTGCTGCAAACTCTTCGATATCCCACTAACTACATGGCCTGCATTCAACACACTGAAATTCCGGTACATTGAAAATTGAGCTTGTGAGTATATAGTACTTTTCTTGATTAGGAAGTATTGAGAAATCTTGCGTAGAACTCAAGTGTGTTTTAGTGAGCATCATTCGGCCTTCTGATATATGCTAACATAGTAAAAGTCCTTCATCGTTGCCTTCTAAACGCTTCATCATTAGCCGTATAACACTTCCAACAAGAAGAGGGTTCAAATTCCTTATAAGATCAGGACCATTTGACGAAAGTTAATAAGCATTTGGTAGTAGATTCAGCTTCCCGCTTTTCTAAAAAACCTATTCCCTAATTGTGCTTGTTTTATACCTCGCCCAGACGATTAATGCTTGAGCAACTAACCGAACACCAGTTTGTCAGCACCACAGTCTCACGTGATACGACTGAGCGGCCTGTGTCCGAAACAGCCTACGTGTGTACGGGACCAAGTCCGTGGGAACCATTCTACTTTCTATCTGTAGTTAGAGTTTTTATCGACCGCTTCGAGGTTTTTTGAGACGTTACATGCCGCGAGTCAATGCCGTGCATTGAACTGTAAAAAAGCACGGCCCTGGTGCAGATGAAGTAGTTGGTCTATACACGATAACAGTGGTATTTTCAATTGAAAAGTACACTATTTGAGTCGTGTCAATCCAAAAAAATGAACCTTCGTGTTTCTGACATGCGATGACTTATTTGACATGCTCTATAAAAATGACGATGTTCATTCAAGGTGAAACGGGTTAAAAAGCTCTGAAAAGACTTCCCAGAACTCTGCTGCACTTTGCTGTAATATATTCCGTTGTTCAATACCTCACATTGATGCGTTATACTCCGCTATCCTATGGAATACTGCACCACACATTGACAACGTACACCTTATAGGGTGAAGAACCGCTGCGTTATTTGTAAAAAGCCTTCCATTTTTGGACACAACTTCAGGGCCATATGGAAAGTGACTTCCATTTTGAGTATTCATACACAGATTATGAGAGAAGCGGTATAAGATAATATGTGAACTACGTCTACCTGATAACATCCCAGAGAGGAAAAACCTGTGGTGGACCGCTGAAGGGTTTTCCGGAACGTTTTCGGTAGTGTTCCTTCAAGAAGATATACCGCAATGTTTTGAATATCATACCCACTGAATTACAAGGCGGTCTTTGTGCAGTACATCCAGCTGAGGCACGTCATTATGGAGAATTCAGTTGGGTTACGTTCTTGTACTTGAAGCGAATGAGTCTGATCAACCACTCTGGAGCAAGATTGATATTATTTGATTTCCAAACCTAGGAGCTCTCTGGGACGAAGGATGAACTCGGTACAAATGAGAACTTTTGTGACAATATCAGAGATTTGAACACAGCGCAAAACTTTCATGGTTGCTGAAAACTCTTCTATTAGTCTCGCTTTTCTTGGAGCCATTTAGTTTCTGTCAAATTAGGCAGACTTCGACAACCGCTCTCATTTGCCCGCGAATCTGGTTCTGATATGAGGCTCACTTATATGCAACTGAGTCAAAAGTTTATGGTGCCCCTATTCAGCAACCTTATGAGTAATATGTTACGTCTAGACAGCTTTGTATTGCGATATTGAAAATATCGTGCCTCTTGACCACAAGGCTGCGATATTGAAAATATCGTGCCAGCTGAACCACAAGGCAGCCTGCTGAGGAGGATCATAATACGTGAAATATCCAGCTGGAATTTACTTGAGTGTCCTGGTAAAACCGAATATGTGTGAAAATGAGAGTTTTTCTCGAAATCTCAGCTATCCTTCACATATAACAGATATTTCTGAAGAGTGAGGGTTATCCACTTAACTATACAATAAGAACACCTCGATACCTATTGTTACACAGGTCAGTTGGAATGAATTTTGGGTGCTGTCCCATGCATGCATTTACGCATGCGGGCGCTTGTCTTTGGTGTGTCCAGTTTCATAATTGCTGATCGGTGAGGCCTCCTGAAACCAAAGTTGACTCTAATATCACAGTTTAAGGGGTGGGCAAGTGGTGGGCAAGTGAGCACACCAATACGAAGTCCGCAAAAAGTCCCCAGGTTAGGCTTGGCCTGATGAGATTCCCTAACATCATTTGAAGGGAGGTGGTCCTGCTTCGGAGAGTGATACTTCCCGCGGCAGTAACCGCAATGAGTATTTTTGGAGATCTCAAGGTGAAACACAAGGCATCACTCTCGTGAAAGCTTTTTTTCGGAAGATTCATGCTGACATGCTGGTGCGTGTTCTCTCTTCCCGAACTGATTTATGCGCTGACTTTAGTCGAATGAGCTACAAATCGTTCGGTTGCTGTCAACTTTGATGAAAGCTTTCCATCTGGTTATTTCTAAAATTCACAAAAATTTCACTCCACTTGCAACTCTTTTTTGCCCCAAAAAGGACAAATTTTATACACGTTATTTGAATGAATTTACTTCCGGGTCATTTCAAGCATGTACACACATTTTTCCTTAGGTGTTTTTTCCATCGATTCACAATTCTAACTTCTATCAGTTACCCTGCACACTTCATTAATAATTCAAAGAAATTCCATCGCACTAGAAACCCATTAATTGATATTAAAACATTCTACCCTATGAGGTAGGACGTTGGCATCTTTCATTCATTCATCTTCCAAAGGTCTTTGCTCAACGACACAAAGGAAACTTACTTGTCTCGTAGGTAAAACCTTCATTGAAGTCATGATAATCCCCTTGCGCATACCAGGACTTTGTAGCTTCTTCTGCTGTGAAGTGAAGAAGAAAGGAGAGACAGCGATTAGCGAAATACACTCCTTTGCATACTAATTTGGTTTTGACTGGAGACTCAGCTGGAACCCAGGTGAATTGCTCGTTTATGATGTTTTTAAGTTACTGAATGTACTGCAGCGGGCCACCTTATGTTTCATTTGGTACGATATTTGAGATATCGCGATACATGTGTAGACAAAATTAGCGTGGGTTGTCCAAGTGCTTTCAGGAGCCTTATGAGTAGTATATTACGTCTACACAATTTATCGCGAGATTATACGATGTTTTTTTAGTCCACACAAGTCAGTGATAAAAATTAGTCGCCAGATGGACCGTTGTTTTCTGTGTTTTTTGACGGATCATTCATTCTTTTCATAACTTTTATTCTATCCAATTTGGTGTTGTTCTCCTGTAGAATTTAGACAGGATGTGTTAATGCTGACCATCTTTTAAATTTATTTTGAACTGTACTGCATCAATAATTAAATGTTTTTAAAGGTCCCAATATCCTGACCTTTTTTGCGATCACCCATTATTTGAAGGCCCCATAAGTTTTCAGTCATTTGGTGACACTGATAAAAGGCAAGTCTTTACAGAGGACAGACCTTCCTGAGAGTTTATTTGCCCACAGCTGGTGTGACACTCATCTTTGGACAATTATTCAAGACGTGCGTGCCAGTTCTTCAGCACATAGCAGTTTTCACGGAAAAAAACAGCACAATCCTGCCAGAAATAAATCCAACAACTTTGGCAGATCAGCCGCTATCTAACACAAGAGCTGATGATGATACAACCGAGTCACTGGACTGCAAAACTCACGCGTTTTGGAGCTCGTTGAGTAACTTCCATCCATTCGTTTGAAAATCTCATTCTACAATCGACAAATCTACTGAAATCAAACAGTTCTTATTGTCCCATCTTTATCAGCGCTTTAACTCAGCATGAATGGCCTTGAGGTAATGGACAAATTTGCCACAGCTGACCCGATTGGGATAAACTTGTGGTTTCTCGGTAAGAGTCATGAAATTGCAAAAGATGTTGCAAACAACGTTGGATCAATACGGGTTGCTTGTAGAACAAGGTGAACTTTGTATTGCATTTTGCGTGTCTGTACTATGACTCGCAAAAGCTACATAGAGGTTCTACTTGATGGCCAAATAGTTCATTACGAACTTGTCGGAGGATTCACTGGTACTGTGAGCCTTTTTTCCCATTCTTGTATTTTTAAATTTCTACAACTAGAGGTATTCATCTTAAGGAACCGGAAGGGCGGCTGACAACGTCGTGATAGCTTCTTTTTGCGACTGTAAAGTTGTCATTCGTGTGATGCGACGGGTATTAGTACATGCCGAAGTTCCTAGCACGTCGGGTGGTTGGTTATCTCAAGGGGATCTACACCCAAATGACAGGGAAATAAACCAGTACTAGCGTGTACCCGCCATAGTGTCAGTGTCCTCTGTGGGAGGGAATAATACTGTTATTGTAGGCACAAGAGGGTTTGAGTTACCTTGCTCTTCCTTCAAAGCTATCATATGTTGGTATTCATTAGAGAATTGACCCACAGTTCCTCAACAAATCAACCCAGTAACGCATTGAAATCAAACGATGTGGTGTTGTGAGAGTCAAACTTACCTTTATTATGCCTCTAAGGTATACTTAGTTTTACTGCTTGATAGAAATAACCTCACTTACTTTTAATTCCATCAGGAATGCACTTTTGCCGGCGGCTCCACTTCATTTCGTTCAGTAGTAAACAATACATTCGGTTTAGATACTGTTGAGTCACAGATTAATACTGATTTTAGCTGAAACTATGCATTTACCAGTGTATATATCTCAGCTGACGTTCAAACACTAGAAAAGATTGACGGAATTCGGAAATAAACCCACATGACTACCTCCAAAACAACCAGAACACCAGCGAGTATTCATCTTTCTTGCGCGTTTTGTCATCTTAAGCTAATGTTCCATTAGTCTAGACATTATTTCACCTGATGCTCAAAAATGGCCTTGAGACATCAATCCCAGTTGAAGACCATTACAAACCCGAGATTCGGTACAGCTTTACCCGAGTGTCTAGCTAAAGCTAGGGAGGATCCCAGCAAATTATGTTGCGTACGTTGTCACGGTTTGCTAGCTGATCTAGGCACCGTGTTTGCAAAGTGCCTCTTGATCAACTACATTGATATTACCAGTGTTTTGGTGTGCAGCTGAGCATCGAGATTTGACCTCTTATTTTAAGGAGATGAACAAAACTACTTGAGTGGTATTATTTCTGATTTGTTCGTTTCTACTAGGTTTCGACCGCTCTGAATCAGAATATTGGTTACACTAATAAAAATACAAAACTAACGTCATTCCATTTTTCAAACCAGCCGGTCTTGTTGGACTTTACTTCTCTGGTCCTGCAAGTTTGGATGGATCCACCGCAGCGCGGTAGTGATTCTTTACACTTTAGTCCCATCACAGACTGAGGTTGTGTGTTCGGAAGGTGAAACTGAAACATTGCGGTGGTCTAGACTCCTTTACGTTCCAAACTGTCAAACTGGCGATACATCGGAAAGTAGGGTGAGAAAGTGGAGTAATATGCTTGTTTTATGGGTAATAGCAACCGGCCAAACTGTTTTTTTGTTCGTTTACCAAATATCGCGGTTCAGCCGTGCGAGCAACTGTTCTCACACTTCCCCGCTCACTGCCGTAAATTCATTACCTCGTGTCTAGTGTGTAAATAAATGAAACCTGCCTAAACGCGTTCGTTGTCAGTGATTTATACTGTTACAGGCACACTCCCGATTGACGTCAAGGCTACCGTTCTATGCAGCTATCTGTCGCAGTGTTTTTTGGGTATGACTGACTGCGAAGCTAATTTGTTCGGGACAGACCTTTGTGATCACCATTGAACACAAAGTGCACAATGGGATCAAACAGCAAAATCGTTGACAAAACTTGTCTTTTTGTACCTGATTCTGGAAGGTCTTTGTTATGTTGATATCACTGAGACCAACGGGTTTTCGTTTTAACGGTGAGTTTATTGAAAACGGGGTGCAGTTCAGCATCATTCAGTTCTCATTACTATTACCGAATTTAAGTCACAACAAAATCCACGGTTTCGGGTACTCCTAATTTTCGCTCCCAAAAATTTCCGTTTTAAAGCTGAGGTTCTGGATATCGTAGCCGAAATTGGTAGAGATCTCGTTGAGGATCTCAGGTAGACTTGACCACAGAGGACATCGCCGTCTGAATTACCAAGGAAAAACATTAACCCACCTCAATAGACTCTGTTGGGGTGAGATTTCTGGCGATCACCTGGGAACCTTGAGTAACTTGGGGATTAGCCGATGTGAATGATATGCAAGCACTTGCCTATGCAGTTTCTACTACATTTCATTCACTGACTGCGCATCGTAAAATAAAGTTGGCGTCTGAATCGAAAAAGCAGACTCAAACTTGACTTCATTTTCGAAAAGTGCCTGCCACCTCTCTGGTACCAAAATCTTTTTGAATGAACGTTTAGCTTATTTGTAGTGACAAACACAAAAACTTGATTGGTTTCCCAAACATCCGGCTCTAACCTCGTTAGTAGATTGTTGGAACTGGTACTTTGAAAAGGATTTCTTCATTAGCTAGACTTTTCAGAGGAAAACTTTGATTAGAAATAGCTAGTTGCTGGAAACCCTGTCTTAGTATTGTGCAGACAGTGGGGTCACCGAATTCCACAAAATTCGTTCAGTGGTATCGGTAGTTTGAATCACCTGGTCCCTTTGTTTTGAATGAATCGATTAAAATTTCTGTTCGTAGCCAGATTTTTTCATGTGAATGTTGGAATTACTGAAGCTGGAGAGTCAAAGAAGTCCTTCATATTCAACAGCATACAGATATTCTTTTGGATAGTGTCAGTACACAGGATATCTCAAGACTCCGTTGTGAGGTTCATTGAAATTTCCTTTGTTTCTGAGTCGAGTAGAATGAGACAATCTCTCACTGCTGGGGACAACGCCAATCTGACAAGCCTAAACAGGTTGTGGCCTTTCTAGAAGTTTTTGGCAAAATCACGAACAGTTCAGAGTAATAACAGTAGAATATTCTGTTTATTATAACGATAATCTTTTTAGTGAATACATAGAAAAGCGTCGTCATAAAAATTCCCTAAAACGGTTTAGAAATAAGTCCGTTTCAACAGCAAGCTCACTAGATCACTGTATCTTTCTTGCTCCAATAATCGATTACCACCAGCTTCCTATAATCTGTACGCAAAAGGATTGCCAATTTTTGTAGACACGGCGCACACGCATGTGAAACGATTCCGGAAGACTCACCCGTGATAGTAGCATTCTCCCACGCTCCTTTGTAGGCCAAGTTTTCTCCGTAAGTGTCCATATCGCTGTGCCGCATGCACTTGGTCTGTGCCAGTTGTTCTGCCCAATTCTGAGCTGTTTGGGCCAACTTCGCATCGTAGGCAAGAGGTGGGCTTCCGTGTTTCTCACGAAATCTGAAGTAGACATAACCGCTTGATGAAGAAATCCAAACTGAATTCTACAAAATACTTGGTACATTCGGTGACCATGACACTCGGCAAAAGGCGGACCCAGCTAGGGAAAAAAGACTGTGAAAGTCGTGGAAAAACCGTATTGTTAAAGGTGATTTTTATCCTCGATTTTTTAGAATGTGCTGACACAAGAAAAGAGAAATTTGGCGAAGCCACTGGACTATGGTAGAAAAAACTTGATTAGATGGCGAGCTTACCAGCCGTTTGTTTCTTAGATTTGATGGGATAGAAATTCTTCGCTAAAAGTACATCGATTGCCTTCTATTTGTCACTGCAAAAATAATCTCTAAGTTGGTTAAAATAAATGAGTAACTCGACTAGTTTTGGTGGGGAAATTTTAGTTCTGACTGCTTTCAAGTATGATTGCCTTGTAGCCATCAAATTTAGCCAACGTGTTGATTTACTTCTAAAGTCCCTGAAATCCTCTGTCCGTACTATTCTCACGCACTTATGTGCTTCCCTATATGCGTTGGCCGCAGTCAGCCTTGTTATTGGTATTTTTCGACGCAAGTTGCTTTGCAATGGACAGGAAAGAGAGTTTGTAGATCTACTATTACCATTCTGGAATGAAAAAAACTACCGAGTATGTTAACCTTAGAAATATGGTTTATAAAACAGCCCCACGCTTGCTCTAATATTGACCGTCTGTATGCATTTTACGGAGGGTTGAGTGTTCGGGCAAAATTTGGATTAAGTTATGGCTGTATGTGCTGTTTGAGCCCATGAGGTTTTCAGGTCTGATGTTGAGTTCCGGATATTATGTTCCTGAGAACAGGCGAAGACAGTTCCAGTAATTTTTTGGGGAGTTACCGCACAAACTCGGGTTACTGTTCGCCTTAAGTACGCACTGATACGAAGATAGGGCTTACCGATAGTACATCCTTGAAAGTGTCAGTTACAAGGCCACGTTCGAAAGCTGTGAGGACGAAGAATACATCCTCACGACGCGTCAGCTGATCATTCGAGATCACGGAATTCGACATTACCGGACGTTGGCACATTCAATTAATCACTACAAGGCAGCGTGCATTTGGCAAACTGGGCCAAATCCGCTCGTTTTGCGTTATCACATTGCGCATTCCTAACCCTCGAAAATTTGCCGTACGAGCATAAAACCCACAGTAAACTGAATCAACAGGACTTACTAAAATGTACTAAAGACATCTGGTCATGTGTAACGAGGTTCTAACAGCCTTTCCGGGGAAAAGTTTACTTTAGGGATTCAGCCTGACGTTTTATTGAAGCACCGTGCGAGCATACTTTTGGCGGGCACTTGTAAATTAGCGTAGAGCAAATCAATACTTCGCCTGCTGTGCAAGAATGATGGAAACTCCAGGCCTGTGGAGAATTCTGTCAAATAGGTCATCAGAAACCGAGTTGGTATCTATTTTACCTTTTTCTGATATGGTTCACAAACTTTTTGGGTTTCTACCGTTACAAGTATTTTATCCGCTTATATCACTTCGTCCATTGCACCTAGGTTAATAGTGATTTGTAATTTCTATAGTGATTTTTAACTGTGGTCAATTTTTGAAAGTCACTCTGGCCCCCGATTCCGTTGCACCAACTTAATCCCATAGCAGGATCTGTGGAAATAACCCACAAGATTTCTGATAAAGCAATATTCGAAAAAAAATTATTTCGGTCCCTAAAACTGCCTACTATCTGTAAGAACACGTTACATAATGTAGCAATTCAGCATATAGCTTTAAGCGCTGGTGGTAAGAAAAAATTGATCTAAAGTTTAATTTAATTTGAATTAATAAATTAATAATTTAATTTGATTTAGTTGTTTTCTAACCTGAAACCTGTTTTCGGTTGAATGCTTTCATGCACAACTCAGGGTATCTCCCTCTAAGCTTTCACCATTCACATTCACATTTCTGTTCAGGAGAACTGCCTAAACTGAACTGATATTCCCACAGAATCCCTGAGGGATTTGTGTTAATTCTCTCCTCGAAGATTAGCTCATAATGTTTGGGGTGATGGCACTGTGTAGTCTCCACTAAGTAATATTTGTCTTGTGAAGTGATATTCACCCACCTAGACTTATGTTGTTTGTCCCCATGGGGATTGGGAAAGACATCTGGTTTCCATTTCGGATGACCTTTCTGGTGTGATCCAATACAAGCGGTCTTCGGAACCCACCAGACCCACTTCATCAGAACCACTAACTAGTCGTCTCAAACAAGGTGCAAGTACACTTTCTGGTCCTTTTGTTTCAATTCACATTATAGCAATATAATTTGGTGAGGTTTAGTGCGAAGTGTGACTGTCCATATTGTTGAGCACTGGAGCTACTTTCAGCGATTCTGCCAGTTCCGGTACGAAGTCAAATAGGTTACTTGGTAGCCCACACCTCAACAGTCCCGAGGGACTTTCCTGTTGCAATCCAACCAGCCGGTCCCTCAGTCAGTCATCGGTTGTGAGCAAGCAATATTCCTATGGACTGTTCTCCACTTTCCGGTTAGCCACATTGGGGTTATTCCACACACTTCCCGAGATTCGTAAAAATTCTATGGACATGGGGCAGCAGCGGCATTAATCGGATTTGGGGCCGCAAATTTGTCAACTTCACTTGTAAATACCCAATGTACTTGCCAACCTTACCTTGTCTGATAACCGTCTACCTTCGTTGTGAGGTTATGGGGTTCAGGCAGTCTTTAGCCGATTGTTAATTGTACTTGAAACAATGTCCAAAAATCAGACAAGGTTCCTATGCGTCATTCACCGTGTTTAGTTTGTTTAACCACCACTTTTTGTGGATGAAATCGTACAAGCCCAACCCATGTATCTTCTTGGAATGTTACACATCCTTCGAGCCCAAAACCTGCCTAACTTCAAGGCGGCGATTTTGTTACGGTAGAGGATTTTCGTGTTGTGTTGCAGGTGAGAGGGCAACATCGTCTTGTGGGTTTCCACGGTTATCTCGGGGACTGCGCCTACCTGATGAGCCCCAAGAAGGGCGAAACCGGTCGTGGGCTGTCGAAGAGTTTTCAGCAAACTTGTGAGTGGTTTCCTATGTGAAAATATACTGCGACATCTCGAATATCGTGCCAAAAGAAACATGAAGCGGCCTGTGTGCAGGCCATTTAGTTGTAAAATATAATAAACGAGAGATTAAGTCGAGTCTGTCATGAAAACCAAATTGATTTGTAAATTAGTGTATTTCTCGAAAACAGTTCAATTTGGGTTCAAGTAGAACATAAGGTTGACGGGAACTCGGGGACTGTGCCTACCTGATGAGCCCAAAGTGGAAGGGCGAAACCGGTCGTGGGCTGTCGAAGAGTATTCAGCAACCTTGTGAGTAGTTTCATCTAAGAAAATTTTAAACTCTTCATGGAAGAAAAGGTCATTGTGACCGTACCTCACAGGTGGTTCGCATTGCAGTAGGCACCTGCGGCAGAAAAATCTAACCAGCGACGCCGTAGGATGAAGGCCTTTAAAATCCTTTCAGGTGGTATCAAGTCACTGGTATTGTCCAGTACTCTTTCTGGCGACGTGATTATGATTAAACAGTCTAAGAATACGCGACAGACATACCACTATCAACTTGTAACTGGCGCTGAAATAAGTGGTTCACAATCAGACAGTCAGTTTTGCTAGATACACTTTTGGTGGCTGTATTTGTAAGATGAGGAATATAAACGTCCAAGGTTTGTAAGCTGATAAGAGGGTCTCTAGGAAACAAATTTGACTAAGTCCGACAACAGTGCACAACAAGACCTGTGTGATTTATACTGTATGCCAGCTCAAGCACTAAAAATGCATTAACCATAGCAGGACATCAACTTCGTGAACCGACAATCAATCAGATCAGCCGACTGAACGAATATTCCACTGTTGGTGGAAATGCAGTCGACAGGTCAGGTGATTCAAAATAGAAAATCTGTGAATTACAGGTATTGTTTGCTCGACAGCTTTGCCGGACATCGATCACGTTTTGACCTGAGTAAACAAAGAACTGATTTATGTTGATGAGCCTTGAAATGGTATTGTCGGATCAATTGAGTAAGTTTGTGGAATTCCGTCAAAGAATACGACTGTTAGATTGTTTGATTAAATCAGGCTCCCAAAATTAAATCGCTACGGAATTACCTGTAACTTGATACCCTGAATTTCCTTTCAGTGATTTTGGAGGATAAAACTGTTTCATCACACGAGTGTTTCTGTTTAGCATTTCAGCACCAGCTTCAACAGATCTCCTCATTATAATACTACCCAGATGTGAGTGCATCATTGACTAAGCGATTCTCGAATCGCGGGTAAGTTGAGGGGAAGAATGTGTAAACTAAATTTGATGAGGCTTGAAAAGATACATATTCAAGAAGACTGCAACGATGTTGATATCACTCGAAAGTCGGATGTGAGAACAACAGGTTTAATAAGATACAGGAATTAATAAATTTCAAGTCATGACGTAAGTGTCCCAAATTTCTTATTGTCACTATCACACCGACTAAAGAAACCACAGATAGGAAGCTTCCCAGTTTTCTTTCCATAATTTGCAGGAAATTGCAGAACATCCCACAGGGTGACTCGGACTTCATCTGAAAAACCATCGCACAGTTAGCTGGTCAGCATCCAGTTAAGCTATGTGGAGCATGTAACTGGCGAGTTAACCACACCGCAAATTAGACAGTGTTAACCAGTAGTGACGTGTGAAACCAATGTCGAGAAGTTCATGAGTTTGAATCAATAACTTCTGATTTTCAAACACGTTGAAGCAATGTACGTGACCGTTAGGCTTTTCAAAGCATGTTGGCGCGAATTCCAGACTGAAATCTGCATAAAAAACCTAGCAATTTCAGACATTCATGCATATATCTTGTACACCTCGCTTTGCTCTGAGTCGGTCTGCCGCCCAAATGTTTTAACTCTTAACTACTTTGTAAGCCCATCACGTTCTGTGCGACCAAACAATAGTTTTGGACTCAAATGTGTACTTTCTTTTCGTGCACATAACAAAGCGTCACACTTGCCGTTTTGTAAAGAATAGCATGGTGGACATGGGAACGCACAGCTTAACGACCGAAATCAGCGATTCGGTTGACAGTGCCACTCACATCGCAGACTCTCATAGTCCAAAGCGGTTTTCATATTATCCAGGATCTTCAGCTTGGTCACGTGATTATTTAGTGTAGGTGGTTTCAAGCATGTTTTTCCATAACTTCTTTGGGAGTTGCGTTTTAAAATCTCCACGAGGCCCCTCCTCGATGAAATTTTCTCCTCAAGGTTTGTTTAATTCTTAGATTTAACCCTATCCATTGAACCAATTAAACTATTTTCAACTCCCGACATATGTGGATCACACACGCGCCAGCCTCTTCAACGTACATGACAAAGGGGCTACGTGACAGTTGACTGGAACTGCTATAAATTGATTGGTTGCTTTCCAGTATGGTCTGACGAAAACAAGTAAAGGCTAGCGAATGTACGCACATTTGCAGACTAACTTAGTTCTTCGAAAGACTCACCTGGAACGCAGCTGAATTTCTCGTTTGTGATGTTCCACGTGATTTTCAGGTGAGTGTGGGTTCCCGGTGAGTCTCTCGAAAAACCAAATTAGTTTGAGAATGAGTGTATATTCGCTAATTTCGTGCAATTTGGTTTCAAGTAGAACATAAGTTTGACGGAAACCCGGGGACTGCGCCTACCTGGTGAACCCCAAAAAAGGGTGAAACCGGTCGTGGGCTATCGGCGGATTTTCAGCAACCTTGTGCGTAGTGCATTACAAATATATACAAATGAAGGCTGTTTACATGCCACTCGTAAGATGATGTATAACTTATCTAAAGATCTCAGTGTTCAGATTATTTTCAGTCTGGAACAGAATGATATCGGACGAAGTGTTCCTTCAGTTGATCCCTTTGGATAATACAGCGCAAACTTATAACATGATGCGACTCTTCGTTGTACATTTATTTGGATTCACAGGTATATGTGTGAGGAAAACGGCAAAACGTTGTACAGATGTCAGTGGGCGACACGGTCAAATGAACTACTTCATTATCAGACCTGTTTATCTTGCTTTTTAAGCCAGCACATTTGGTACAATTTTCTTCTGAACAGGGAGTCGAGTGTTTTTCTTTACCAAACTGTTTGTCAGAGCGTGAACTCAGTCCGGTATCCCGACATGGTAATCGAAGGTAACTTAATTCAATGATATTTAAGCCACATTTAACCAAATCCGATCATGTGACAGGCAGCCACAACGTCTTCCGCTGGTATCACTAAACCGGCTGATGCGGTTCAGACCGCTTACAAATGTGATCTAAATTCGGTCACGGCAGGGAGTTGCAACGTTGCTCTGACCTAGCTTGCGAGTAACCGGGCGCCAAAAACTTGTCTGAATTGACGTAATCCATCTGAATCAGTTAGCCAAGTCCCTTGCATTTGCTCCTAAATTTTCACCACGCATGTACTGTTTCTAATTTTGCTCGTGACCGCTTTTGAGTGTTAAATAAATTTGTCATGTGTCAGGCAAGAAGACAAATCACAGAACATACAGAACATGAGCTTTGCGTGCCACCTTAGTTCCGGTTTCAGTTTCCCCACTCATTGCATTTTAGCAGGATGTTCACCGAGAAAGTAAACAGGCAGTTTTGAAGACGAAAGAGAAACCCTAGAGACCACTTGTCAACTTTCCTTCTTCACGGCTACCCGAAGGGTCGGGACTCATCAGTATGCAATGCGTATGTCAATAGAGAGAAAGAGAGTAAAGAATGCAACATTTCCAAAATAGAAGTTTAAGCAGACGGCCCATTATCAGTGGAGTTTCGTTGCACAAGAAGAGGCTATAACGCCATTCACACTTCAGTCATGCGGTGTCTGCCAAGTGATCTGGCGTTAACCGGCTCTTGGTGTCCGAGTTTCAGACCTACAACACCAAATGCGGAGTTCATACTTTAGAAACTCACTAACAATTTTTAAAGCTTTGTGGCATTTTGAAGGCTAAGATATAATCCCGACCACTAGACAATTTGACTAGTTCTACATTAAGTGGAGGCAAACCAACAAAATTTGTGGCTTCTGAGTAAATAAACTTAATGGAACTTTGCAAAAATAGCTTGGAAACCAGTGGTTAACACTAAAATTGTCACTACTAACGATGGTTGCCGAATAAAAGGTTGTCGAACGTCCAAATGAGGTGTATTCCTCAAGTAACTTTTTGGGTATAATATTTGCGGGAATTGATTTAACTAGGCTCAAGTTCAAGCCCGAATATATACCCTATATGCTTCAGATATTACCGTATTCAGTTTCAATGCGCTCTTGTGAAGGGGCTGTTTCCAGTATCATATTGTGAACTTATCCTAATGTTGATCAACTTTCGAAAAACTTCAATTTTACTGCACAGCGGGGTTAAATTTCCACCTTTTCGATTATATCATGGGAAAACACTCAAATGTCCTCGGGGATTAACGGCGACTCTGATGAAATTCGCCACAAACGGGATTGTCTGAGCAAGCCAGAAGGTGGCAATACATAAGATCGCATTCAGAACAAAACCTAACAGCCACAGGTATCAGTGGGCGTACTTGTGGTCACAAACGGAAACCAAACTGATCACATGTCGTAGATATCGATGTCCAGATGATTAGTCTCATAAGGAAATTTGGATTTTGAGCTTACAATGGTTCTATGACAGCTCCACCATAAATGAGATCATGTACCAGTTTAATCGTTAGCGCTCATTGCGTCCAGTCCGTTACATCTGTCTACGATGCGATTTGCTATCCAGTGCGTTTCGTATTCATGTTCGTAAGGCACAGAATGTAACAACAGCTTGCTTTGCAATACACGCAGATACACTTGCTCCGATTCGTTGGAGAAAATTTGCGTCAGTGGTAATGGTAGTTTCGTTGTCTGTTGCCTAGATGAAGCCTAATCTGCGATTCAGAAAATTCCACGTAGCTGAGGTTGTCCGACGCTGATCAGTTGACACCTGAGATTCACAACAGGCTTTCGATCATCCCGTCACCTAGTGAGCAGATATCGCAAGTTTGCGCAGTGAATGGTGTTGAAATACCTGCATAAATTTGCATTGCAGGTAACGTGCGTGTAAGGGCTGCAGTTCGCACCATTGGAAACCTGAACAGATTCGTGGTGATTTTCAGCTCGCTTGCAAGCATGAATTTTTTACCGTTACAGATGGGACTGTCGTACTGGTTGATGCATAACGTTAGCGAACGAATGAAACAAAGCTGTCAGGTGTTTGTTTTAAGGACATCCAATTTTAATAGGCAATTTACCCATCAGACTAACTTGGGATTCACCGTGTAGAATGTGCAGATCTTGTGTAACCATGCGAAGGGTACTTACTGATTGTGAAGGGCAATGGCTTGAGTATTCAGCTCAGTATCCAACATAGTGTACGCAAACGGCAGGTAGCCGGTCGAGAATAGCCCCACTTTGTCGTAGACGGTTGTTTGCGGAGTGATCAAACTCAGTACGGCACGCGGTATTTAGAGTATACGTGCGCTTGCAATCGTGTGAGGACGTCAGTGTACACGTCTGTAAGTTGGTTGGGTCAAAGTGTGTACAGGCACAAACGCACGCGATTGCACACACGCACATGTGCACACAAGTATTCAGCACGTATGAGAATGAATCCGACCTGTTCCAAAAGGACCCAGTAAGCCCGTATATGGCGATTGGTAGTATCACGTGAATTACGTGGTTGAGTGTGGTGGCACGAAATTACTTGGCATGGCCTACGGTCAGTAGGGTTCAGTAGAGCATAGCTTCACGAACGATCTGGAGTTTTGAGATTCATCTGATGAGTCTGTTCCCTGCGCTGATTATCTATTGTGTTTGCATTTTTGGTCGGTATATCAGCGGTGTGATAGTTTTTAGGTATTTACGTACTACACAGCACTTTCGTTGCATAAGCAAGTAGACAGCCGTCATGTTCTGAACGTCAGTTCTGATCTGTCGTTGGTTAAGTGTGGCTTGAAAAACAAGCATCAAACCAACAATATTTGTGGCTTCTGAGTACATAAACTAAACGGAACTTTGCAAAAATCGCTTGGAAACCAGTGGTTAACACTATAGTTGTCACTACTAACGATGGTTACCGAATAAAATCTGTCGAACGTCCAGATGAGGTGTATTCCTCAAGTAACTTTTTGGGTATAATATTTGCGGGAATTGATTTAACTAGGCTCAAGTTCAAGCCCGAATATATACCCTATATGCTTCAGATATTACCGTATTCAGTTTCAATGCGCTCTTGTGAAGGGGTTGTTTCCAGTATCATATTGTGAACTTATCCTAATGTTGATCAACTTTCGAAAAACTTCAATTTTACTGCACAGCGGGGTTAAATTTCCACCTTTTCGATTACATCATGGGAAAACACTCAAATGTCCTTGGGGATTAACGGCGACTCTGATGAAATTCGCCACAAACGGGATTGTCTGAGCAAGCCAGAAGGTGGCAATACATAAGATCGCATTCAGAACAAAACCTAACAGCCACAGGTATCAGTGGGCGTACTTGT